ATGATCAAACATGCTTTGTCACATGCATATATCTATCTTAACAAAAGGTTCATGTTTCCAATCAAATTTGAATTCCATTAATTTGGAGATTAGAAATGTATTGGGCCCCAATAAACAAAGTAAAAGAAAGTGAATTGTCCTCCTCTGTTTTCAACAACCATTGAAGTCTTTCATCAAACATGTGAACTGCAAGACTCACATACACTTGTATAAAATTAACAAGAGATTTTATCTACACATATGTAGAGCACAAAAGACATACGAGTAAAAAATATACTTCTGAATGTGCAAAAAAAAAAAAATACAAACAAATCAAGGGATTGAGAAAAAAACCCAAGAGAGAAAAAGAATAAATCGAACCAATGTAGTGGGATTTTGGAAACAGAGTTTCCAAAAGCCTGAGCCAAATGGGGTCGTCGAAAATGGTTGTTTTGGGTTCATCAAAACTTTGTCCAACAATCATTTTTTCAGTGTGTCAATTGCCAAACCAAAACAGACGAAAATTGAAGCAGATTTCTAATCTTAACACTTGTTTCGGTTTTTTCTATGTTTTTCCTCGAATTTCAATGCGTAGATGGAAAGATGTGTGGGTTTTGATTGGGCATTGTGGAATTAATGCACAGGGAGAGAATAAAATGGTAATATGTATTTTTGAATTAATGTAGCATGAAAGCCAACATACTATTAAAATAAATATGCAAATCTTGATCCTTACTAAAGGATTAGAGACAATCAGAGAAAAAATTAACAAAAATTCATTGTAAATTGGGCCTTTCAGTGATCCAGGTTCTGCTCACCAACTTACTGCTGCTCACCCAGGTTCTGCTGCTCTGCAGCCTAGTTTTGCCGTCCAACAGCCCAGTTCTGTTGTCCTGCAACCCAGGTCTGCTGCCCTACAGCCCCCAACTCTACAGCTCAATTCTGTAGATTCTAGGTCTCCTTCTATGTCTGCAGGTCCACAGTCTAGTGCTGCCATTCCACAGCCTAGTCCATTTTTTACAGCTACTTCTATCCCTCTGCAACCTACTTCTTCAGACCCATCTGATCTTGGTGTCTCCCCTAATCCTTCTATACCTATACAGTCCATTTCTATACCAGTAGTTTGATAGCTTGATGAAGTCAATGATATCAGAATTTAATTATAGTTTTTCAGCTTTTACTTTTTATTAGTGTCTTTTTTACTCTTTCAGGATGGTTTATAATTTCTGACTTCAAATTTGGCTCGTAGGCAATTCAAGACTCAAGAAAATAAGATACAGATAATAAGGCTTCGAAATATGAATTGACATACTCAATTTGGTTGGAGCTAGTTAACTAGGAGACCTTGTTTGAAGCTTGCTATGTTTGCAACATACTCAATTTGGTTGGAGCTAGTTAACTAGGAGACCTTGTTTGAAGCTTGCTATGTTTGCAACATACTCAATTTGGTTGGAGCTAGTTAACTAGGAGACCTTGTTTGAAGCTTGCTATGTTTGCAACATACTCAATTTGGTTGGAGCTAGTTAACTAGGAGACCTTGTTTGAAGCTTGCTATGTTTGCAACATACTCAATTTGGTTGGAGCTAGTTAACTAGGAGACCTTGTTTGAAGCTTGCTATGTTTGCAACATACTCAATTTGGTTGGAGCTAGTTAACTAGGAGACCTTGTTTGAAGCTTGCTATGTTTGCAACATACTCAATTTGGTTGGAGCTAGTTAACTAGGAGACCTTGTTTGAAGCTTGCTATGTTTGCAACATACTCAATTTGGTTGGAGCTAGTTAACTAGGAGACCTTGTTTGAAGCTTGCTATGTTTGCAACATACTCAATTTGGTTGGAGCTAGTTAACTAGGAGACCTTGTTTGAAGCTTGCTATGTTTGCAACATACTCAATTTGGTTGGAGCTAGTTAACTAGGAGACCTTGTTTGAAGCTTGCTATGTTTGCAACATACTCAATTTGGTTGGAGCTAGTTAACTAGGAGACCTTGTTTGAAGCTTGCTATGTTTGCAACATACTCAATTTGGTTGGAGCTAGTTAACTAGGAGACCTTGTTTGAAGCTTGCTATGTTTGCAACATACTCAATTTGGTTGGAGCTAGTTAACTAGGAGACCTTGTTTGAAGCTTGCTATGTTTGCAACATACTCAATTTGGTTGGAGCTAGTTAACTAGGAGACCTTGTTTGAAGCTTGCTATGTTTGCAACATACTCAATTTGGTTGGAGCTAGTTAACTAGGAGACCTTGTTTGAAGCTTGCTATGTTTGCATCAGGTCTCTCTTCTAGCTTTCATACCAATCATTTAACAAGTTCCCATCAGTGCATGTTCTATGATGATTCTAATCTATTGATCTTCATATACAGTGAACATATGCTTAGTTCAATCAATGTTTAAGTACTTTGGTGAATTTCCAAATTATTAGTGTTGATTTTATTTATTAAGTACTTTGGTTCTACGTGCTGCATAATCCCATTTGGGTAGACCTCAGGCCACTATGCTCCAACTTGCATGAGTATAAGAAATAGAGAAAATGCAGCAAACCTTTGTACCTATTTGAACATTTCTGGAGTTTTTGTGACTTACAAGCTTTCGAACTTTTTTATTTTTTGGTAATTGTAAATTTCCATGTTGTTCTGCATACTAATGTAGATCCAATGTGTAGATTTCAATATACTCTATGCTCTGTTGCATCCTAACTTACATCAATGCATGAAAAAAGAATACAGAAAATCTAATCGAATCAAAGCTTTGCTTCCCAAATTTCAAAAATGTTACTCTCATTATAGTAAATTGAACTTGTTAAATAATTGGTTAGAATCTAGATATGTTTGTCTTTGATTACTCAACTGCTGCTGTCTTTTGCTGTTCCAAGCCAACCTCATGGATCCATCACCATGCATGATGCAACCGATTGGATCAGAGTGAGGACCATTTGCAACAATTATGTGGACAACCATAACTTGTTGCAAAAGATCGAAGACGATGATTTTCCATAGGTCAGCACCACTTTTGGATTGACAAAGATACTTTTACCATTATTATTTTCTTAGAGAATTAGCACCCCAGCAATAATCACTTGCATCAGTCTGAAGAACTTGAATCAACTAGGCATGACTTAGAAGGCTCTTGGGTGGCAAGGTAATGAATAGAGTAGTTATCGGATTTGGAATTTCAAATTTCACCAAAAATTGAGACAAAAATTGCGCGTTGTTTTAATGCTTGGCTTGTTTAATAATCGAGTCAAGTTTGAGTAGAGAGCTTGGTTTGAATGGGTTCGTAGACACAAAGAAATAAATTAATGTTTATTTTAATAATATATTAAGTATATTTGTATAAGTTTATTTTATTTATTTATTTATTGTTTATATTTGATGTTTGTGCAAATTTTCATATGGTCAAAGTTTGCTTATTGTTTACTGTTTGTTAATTTCTGGTTGGCCATAACAGATAACTTTTTCTTGGACATAATCATGTTGGTTGTTCTTTTATTTTAAAAAATATGGTTTCATTTGGGATGTGTTGGCCTGAATTGCAATATTAAAGCGAAAGACTTAGTAATTCTATGTTTATCATGCTGTAGAAAATTGAAGATCATGATTCAAACTTAGTCATAGGAAATTAAGCTTTTAAGTATGTCAATTTATTTAGGAACTTGAATGGATTTGAGTTTATAGAACATATGTTATTAAAATTTCAAAACTAGTCAAGACATATTAATTTGCTACTATATTTGCTACTGCCAATAAATGGAGTGTGTATTGGTTTTGCTGCTGATATAGAGTGTGTTTAGTTGTTGCTGATGAATCACTACAAGAATTTTCACTTTTGGCGGCTAAATTTTTAGTCGCCAAAAGTCAATTTTTAGTCACTGAAGGGCTTTAGCGACTAAATTTTTTTGTCGCAAAATTAGTAGCCGAAGAGTAGTCGGGAACGCTAATTGGCGACTAAAATTAGTCGCCAAATGTATTCATTTGCCGACTAAATATTTAGTCGCCAAAAGGTTAGACAATAGTGCCTAGTAGACATCCTCGACTGTGCCCCTAGTCTCGGTTTAGACGATACTCCTATCTACTATGTGTTTATTTTTTTGTGTATTTTTGCTAGGCAGTGTTGGAGTTGCTCTAAGTTAGTGATGTGATTAATAATGGGTGTGTCTTTGATTGAGTTTTTCACAGTAGAAGAAATGAAGCAACATTTATTGAGTCTCAGGCAGTGGGTTGGTCAAGTTTGTATATCACTTTATGATTGCTGTTGTGTTGTATATATCATTAGGATGGTTTAGCATAATAAGGACTTTTAATAGATTGATCTGTTTGAAGGTTTTCCCTGTACTGAACTTAGTGAAGCCACATTTCAACCACTTTGTCCTGGCTAAAGAAGTCTTTTCTTGAGATCATGTGCTTTCTCACAACTTACATTCATATCTGTTGGTCTATCTCTTGTTCTTGAGGCTTTAACTTCTCCCTCTTAGTGGTGCTGTCCTTGTTATTTGACACAAACATTCAATTCGTGTTAACCAACCAATCATATATTATTGTCTTCATTGTGCTCAATTGGACTATATAAGAAGCAAAGAAGGAATATTTAGAAAACTTTATTTTTACCTGGTGTTAGCTTGAGTTGCATATTCTGACACCCAAAAAAGGGAGGTGCAGAATTCAAGTCCCTGTCAGGACCCACTCTATCAGAAAAGAACTAATCTTTGTAATTCAGTTTCCAGGACTCACTGTTGTCATTTTGCCTCAGATAAATTTATTTGCACCTCATTTGTGTGTGACAGAGTGAAATAAAATGATTCCGTGCTCTGTCCCACCTTGATGTGTTGATTGCCAAACATAACCAAACATTCAAACCACACCACCCAAACCATCCTTCTCACCCAACTATCACATGGCTTCGTTTTCCATTTATTTAAGGCAGTGTCACTAAATCTTGAATAGATATAACCAGCCCATTTCCTTTGCTTTCCACCAAGCACACAGAGAATCATATATTGCCTTTCTAGTCTATCATTAACACAAACATGATCAATTCTAAGAAGCTCATCAAAATGGCGAGGAAGTGGCGAAAGCTTGGCTTCTATCAGTCGCAAAAGAATCACCTTCTCAAGAACAACCAGAGGTGTTGATAATGCAGAGAGTTGCAACACATCTACAGTTGATAAGGGTCACTTTACTGTGTACACAGCTGACCAGAAACGCTTTGTGATTCCCTTGGTTTATCTCAACAATGACATCTTCAGAGTACTCTTGAAAGTGGCTGAGGAAGAGTATGGACTTCCAAGGGATGGGCCTATCACATTACCATGTGATGCAGTCTTCATGGACTATGTAGTCTCTTTGATAAGAAGGCATGCAGCTAAGGATCTGGAGAGAGAGCTGCTCACAACCATAACTAGTGGTTGTTGCTTATCATCCTCTTATCTCCAAGAGGGACTAACCGATCAACAATTACTAGTCTCCAGCTTCTGATGGAATTAGGTTTTTGTTGGGTGAATGAGAAACAATGTCGTTAGCTTTATACAACAAATTAATGAAATCTCCATTGAAATTTCTTCATATTTGGCTCTTGTTCTACTGATAATTTTACTTATTAGTGTATGTGATAAATGTGTTTGATGATAGCATCACACAGAATTTACTGGGACAGTGGATAACCCTGGCTAATCTAAAAAAACTGCCTCCATTTTGATCAGTATATTTGGTTCAACTCCATGAATTATCCTTCTATAACTTCCCCGTTATCAACTAAATGACATTTTATTCAAATTCAGGTCTCTGAAAATCAATACAATTTTCTTCCTGCAAGCTAATCCTATACATCACGTCTCTTGTTGAATCTAGAAGAATTGTTGCAGCCACATCCCATGCGACTTTTTTTAAACTGAAAAAAAAAAATTGTAAAAAGAGGTGATTGCTTGGTGTACTATTAAATTTTCAGGCTGTGATATGCCTCAAATCTACCTCAATCCTACGTTATATTTTGGAGCTATTATATATATATATATATATGTATATATTCTGCCATTAGTGATAGTGATATATGGTATTCTTGCAATCTTTCGGCATCTTATGTTATCCGTGTTGCTTTATCATCAAGGATCACCTCAACTCTTTGAAGTTTTGATTTGTTAGATGCATTTCTACTAAATTGGTTTATAAAATAAAATTATTTATATATGAGTTTAGATATAATTGATAATATATTAATGTATTCTTTGTTTATTTTCTTTGTAGATTGGTTTTTGATGATGTTTGGAAGTATACTTGCAAATGAAGATCAACTGTTGAATTTTGTTTCCTAAACTGATACTTAGTTGTAGTTGCAAATCAAGATTGAGTGTTGATTTTTTTTGTAGATTCTACGTTAGTTCATTTTGGGATTTGCTTTGATGGTTTTTTTGTTATACTTAATGGTTTATATTATTAAAGTTGTTTGATGGATATATTTTGATTTATAACATAAATTATTTATTGAATTTTTTTGTGGAGTGATGTATAATAGCTATTGAATTTCTTAGTACAATTAAAAGGCTATTGGGATGTGAGCAAGGATATTTGTGAAATAATAATTAAAATTGAAATATAAAATATGGAACAGGTTTAGTGACGAATTTGTTTCGTCATTTGTACTTGTTATTATGACAAAGTGATTATTCGTCATTAATAAACATTTTTTGTGATAAAATTTGTTGCAGCGCATATATGAAAGTTTTCATTGATTTTGTTGTTTGGTGACGAAATATATTTCGTCATGTATATATATATATATATATATATATGCGACAAAATATATTTCATCACGTATATAAATAAATTTGCGACGAAATATATTTCGTCACCCATGTATGACTTTTGGAGACGAAAAATTTCGTCACCTTCACATCTTACTGTGACGAAATTATTTCCTCATCAATGATCAACATTTGTGACAAATTTATTCGTCAACTAAAATTATAAATATGGTACTGAATAATTATTTGGTGACGAAAATAAGAATTTTTGGTGACAAAATCTTATTTTATTGGTGACAAAAAATTTCGTCACTAAACTAAATTCATTGGTGACGAAATTATTTTTCGTCACGGTGGTTTTTAGTGACAAACATTCAATGACGAAACTGGTGACGAAAATATTTCCTCACAAATATCTATAGTGACGAAATTAGCTCTTTCGAGACAAAAAAATTTCGTCATTCAAGACCCAACTTGTTGTAGTGCCAGATGGGATGGTGGGATCCAAGCCAGCCAAAAATGAGCAATGGGTGGTTGAGTGACGATGAGTTAGATAACGAGGAACAGACAAGAGAGACCGGGAAAGAAAAGGCTGAGGGTACACTCTTGATTGAAAACGAACAAGTGTTAGAGCAATTCCAGCAGGAAATCATAGAAGAGATCCAAAGGAAGATAGCCCTAGAGCAAGGAAAAGGGAAAGGAACAGTAGAGACTGAGCCAACAATGGTAGATGTTCAAAATACAGGAAAGACTGAATGGGAGCCCAATGACAAGGAAAGAATGCCAAGAAAGCTCAGGAAGTACTAGAATGTAGAGATTAAGACTGTTGTGGCAGAGGAGTGGTATGATAATGGGGGACGTGATGTAAACATGCTTCAGGTAGAACCAGATAATAGCCTAGCCATGACTATAGCGGAGTGGTGGGAAGATAATGATTTGAGCCACGCGTACATAGATGAAGGGTGGAAAGCTGATACCCCTGATGATACGTGGTATATTGACAAAATTAACCACATGACCTAGAGTGGTCGGTACTTTAAACCCCTTACTTTGGATCAGCCAGAGTCCTCTAGCAAAGAGACTGAGAAAACAAAAGAGAAAGACGTTGAAGAAAACCTGGTCTTGAAACAGCTCAAGAAAATTCAGGTAGACATCTCTATCTGGGGGCTACTAATGGCTTCCCAGGATCATAGACAGGTGCTGTTAGAGGCCATAAACAGAACAAAGCTGCCCATCGACACCACTGCTAACCAATTGGTGTCGTTTGTTACATCTAAGGATGTTACGCCGATGATGTCTTTTACAGATAAGGAGTTACCACCTAAGGGTGCCAACCACAACCAACCCTTATATGTGACCTTGGAAAGCTAAAAAAAGTAGATTCCGGCGGTGTTATTAGATACCGGATCGACAATTAATGTATGTCCAGTGAGGACTGCCAATGCCATTGGTTTAAGGTCGGCTGACTTTATGCCCATAACCCAGGCCGTCTGGGCTTATGACAACACTAGCCAGGATGTTATGAGAACGTTCAACAGCCATATCCTAATCGGCCCATCCGAGCATGAGGTGGAATTCCATGTCATGGACGTTCCGACGATTTTCAATTTACTACTGGAAAGGGCCTGGCTACATCAAATAAGGACTGTGTCATCAACAATTCACCAGCTAATGAAATACCCCTTCAAAGGTAGGATTGCTACTGTGTACGGTAATTCTACGATCCACCATCCGCAGGGAACTACCACGCTATTGTTGGAAATCATACATGGAGAAGAGGACGTGTTCCTTTTCGGCTTCTCTCTGGTAGAGGCCCTATTGGTCCAATCCATCATGGCGGAGGACGATGAGAATTACATCAGTGCCCAGTCTATCTATATGATAAACAAACAAGTGCATATTCCTGGGTTAGAACTGGGCAGAAGTGGCAGGCAGGGAGGTACTGTTGCCAAGGAAACGAGTCACAACCCCCACGTTTTTAGGTTGGGATACAAACCTACCATTGCAGATTGGCAAAGAAAGGAGGAGGATTTGAGAGGAAGGCTAAAGGCAAAGAGAATGGGAAGACAGTATGAGTTAGTCCACAAACCAATACAGGGAACCCTCAATGGACGCTTTGTCTGCCAAGGGGAAGATTTCCCTTTCTGTGGATTTCCAGAGCCTTGGTTCAATCGAGAAACAATGATGAGGTACCTGGGGTTCTTCGGACACCAATTGCTAGAAGAGGAGGATGAGCAAGTAGACCTAAGCCTGAAGATGGATCAACGCAGGACCGTGAGTGTGGACATTGAAGAATAAGAGCTGTTGAGAAAAGCGTTGGCTGACCTACGGGCAAGTTCTACTGTTGGAGCTAGTCCGTCAACTTGGGGGATAGTTTTATTATCTCAATGATCGGGGATGAACTAGCAGCGGATTTCTCCAATCTTATTGGGTATACATTTGAGGCTCCACACCTGGTCTGGAAGATTGAGAAGGGCGCTATTAGCAGTTCTGAATCGGATAGTGAGTCCGAATCTGATTCCACTGAGTCTGTGGAGTTGGAGTCAGATTTGAGTTCCTCTGAGTCTTGTACTTTCAGGAGTGGTAAGCTGGATACCAAGGTCCTGTCCAGGTCGTTTTTCAGCTTTTCTTTTGAGTCTACTGTAACTGAAGATCCAAACTTTTTGAATGGGAATTCTGTGGATTTTGCCTACTTTTTTGTGCCTTTGGTTTGTTGTGCTGATCTTGATTTTCAAAATTTTGACATAAACGAAGAGGAAGAAATTCCTTAGATTTTGAAAAATTTGGTTGACCAAGAGAAGAAGAGACGTGTTACGCTCTGTGCAGATGAAATCATAGCAATTAATGTGGGCACTGAGGAGGATCCCCGCTTGGTCCAAATTGGGTCCATGTTGTCTTCGGAGGAACACGAGCTTTTAGTCGCTTTATTAAAAAATTTAAAAGATGTTTTTGCGTGGTCCTACGCAGACATGCCTGGAATCAATCCTGAGATTGTATAGCACCGGATCCCTTTTGACCCTGAGACCTGACCAGTTAAGCAGAAGTTGCACAAAGTTTGTCCAGATTGGCTTTGAAGATCAAAGAAAAGGTCACCAAACAAATTGAGATAGGGTTTTTGATTGTATCGGAGTACCCAACGTGGTTGGCCAATATTGTTCCAGTTCTGAAGAAGGATGACAGAATCAGAGTTTGTGTCAACTTCAGAGACCTGAACAAAGCTAGTTCGAAAGATAACTTCCCCTTGCCATATATTAATGAGTTGGTGGACTTTACTGCTGGCCATGCCTTACTTTCGTTTATGGATGGATTTTCTGGGTACAATCAGATTCTGATGGCACCAAAAGACAGAGAAAAAACAGTTTTCACCACACCATGGGGTACGTACTGCTACCGAGTCATGCCTTTTGGACTGAAAAATACTGGGGCTACTTATTAGAGGGCTACAACCACGATCCTACATGACATGACACGACATGATCCACAAAGAGGTTGAGGTGTAAGTAGACGACATGATTAAAGAGCCAGAAGGCCATTACACCGCACTGGAAAATTTTTTTCAACGGATTAGAGAGTACAAATTGAGGTTGAACCCGCAGAAGTGCACCTTCGGGGTAACAACAGGGAAAATGCTGGGATTTTTGATCACCTAGAGGGGAATTGAAGTTTATCTATCCAAAATCAAGGCCATCTTAGAAATGCCACCACCAAGAACTGAAAAAGAAGTGCGTGGCTTTTTGGGCAAAGTGCAATT